TACAAATACGCTTTACACAATTGATGTGTGTATGGATTGGGATAACAGTTGTATGAGCCCCTAATAAAATGTTTAAAAAATTAAAAAAGAAAAAGCAGAAAAAGTGAACATAAAAAAAAAAAAAAAAAGCTCTTTCCTATACACATATGAATGTCTCCCTGGATTTGTTTCTCTGGTCTACCTAGGCAGTTGGTGACTCAAATCCACTGTGGAAGAAAGGCCTACAGAAAGATGATGACCCTTGAAAGCCCTATAAAACACAGGTCTACTCTTTGTGTTTGTGTGTATTTATATATCTGCTCTCACCTGTCAGCTATCTCATGATGTGACATTTTCCATTTGTAATAATAGTAAAAATCCATCATCCGACTGTTTTGTGTGTTGAGAGAGAAGACAGAAAGTTCGGAGGCAACAGATTTGGATGTCCCTTCCCTTTAGGAGGGTCTCTAGGGGATTCTGGGAGTTGGGCTATGGAGTCCCACACCTTCTACTTCATTCCACCAGTGTGCCCTGTGATGTTCTTTAGCCATGTCCTCAGCACAAATGGAGCCAGCCAGTGGCACTGCCCCGAGTTCCCTCCCACCTACTATATGGCCTTAGGTTCCGCAGCTCAAAATTGCTATGGAGCAGGAAGGCAGGAAAGGGAGAAGCATCAGAGAGGGTCCCTATTTGGGAGAAATCCGTGCAAGTTTAAAGACATCCCAATGTGAGCTTCACTATTTGAAAATGCTTCAAAGCTATGCATAAAGTTTTCAGTGGCTTCTTCCTCCAAAGTGGGGAGTTGAGTCCTTCTTCATTGTCTGTTCTTGGTCTGGAAGTTCTGTTGAAACCTGTTCACTTTGGGTGACCCTTCTGGCATTTGAAATACCAGTGCCATAGCTTCCAGCATCACAGCAACACATAGGACACCACAGTACAATAAAAAGACAGATCTGTATCGGAAGAAGTAAAGCAAGAGTGCTCCTTAGGGGCAAGGATGGCAAGACTTTGTCTTACAAACTTTGGATGTACTGTCAGGAGAGAGCAGTCCCTGGAGAAGAACATCATGTTTGGTACCGTGGAGGGCCAGCAAAAAAGTGGAAGAGGACTGAGTAACACATACCAGAGGGACTCTGCAGAAATCAGTGCAGGAGAGTTACCAAGAGGGGAATTCCACACTGCCATGTCCCAGGAGGAACATCATAAGACATGTACGCACAGATCTACTAGGTTTTGAGGAGCTGGGGGCTTTTGGCTTACCACAGTGGAGGCCGGCTAGGGTTTGATCTTAGCCCCACCACTGTCTCAGCCAGAGCCGGGATCATTTGGAACTGACACAGGGGCTTTATCTCAACACAGCTACAGGTAGGGTTTAAAGCCCTCTAGCCCCATGATCAGGGATTGGGGCTCAGCTATATTATTACTTTTGTTTTGCTCTCTTCTCTAGGTCCCCTCCAGCCTCAGCGGGCTTAGGTTTTTTGTTTTTGTTTTTTAATTTTTCTCTTTCCTTTTCTCTCAGACCACTCCCCGTAGCTTAGGGCAATTACTCCTGCCCTCTACCCAGCTGGGAGAGCTCCACCCTCTGCACCAGAGCCCAAGGCTGGAAAAAGCTCACCCACTCGCCACCAGGGGCTATCCTGCCCAACTTCTTTCAGGGGAAATTCCAGTACCTTCTTCGGGGGAAGTCCTGCCTGCGTGGCTGTGAGAGCTCCTACCCATCCTCTGTGGTCCCACGTGACTGAGGGAACTTCCTCCCACCTGCCATAGTGCCTCACACGGCCTAAGGCAGCTCAGCCAACACTCGCCAATGCTCCACGCTGCTATGGGAACCTCTGCCCAACCTCCGCAGCGATCTACCTGACCAGGACAATTCTGTCCACCATTAGCGGTGCTCTACACCAAAGCGGGCAACCCATCAGCCTTTGGTGGCACTCCCTTTCCAGCAGGCACTCTTGTACGCCCTTTGCAGTGCCCAAGCTGCCTTGGGCCAAGCTATCATGACTTCTTGGTTTTTCGCTGTTGGTTTTTTTTTGTTGCTTTGTTTTGCTCTGTCTTGTTTTTTGTACATATTATTATCCGTGCAAGTCTATCTAGATCAGATAGGTGGGATAAACAATCTGAAGGAGAAAACAACAGGATTGACAGTTCCAGGGGGACATGGAAGAGGGGGAAGGGGAGGAAAGGAAGTTGCTGTTAACAAACCCAGGGACAAGGGAACAACAAGTGATCCAAAAGCAATGGCTAAAAGGGTGTAGACCTGGTAGGGCTTGATCAAGGGCAATGTAACTGAGAGGGATTACTGAAACTTAAATGAAGGCTAAGCATGATAGTGGGACAAGAGGAAAGTAAAAGGAAATAGAGGAAAGAACTAGGAGGCAAAGGGCATTTATAGAGGTCTAAATACAGGCATGTATATATGTAAATATATTTATATATGACGATGGGGAAATAGATCTATGTGTATATATTTATAGGTTTAGTATTAAGGTAGCAGATAATATTGTGCCTCTACTCAAGTACTTCCTCAATGCAACAACATTTTGTTCTGTTAAACTGGCATTCCATGATGCTCACATGATTGCTGAAGACAAAGCGGGAGCATAAGCAAATGTGGCAAAGAAAGCTGATGGTGCCCGGCTCTCAAAAGATACAGCATCTGGGGTCTTAAAGGCTTGAAGATAAACCAGCGGCCATCTAGCTCAGAAGCAACAAAGCTCATGTGGAGAAGCACACTAGCATGTGTGATCACGAGGTGTCGATGGGATCAGGTATCAGGCATCAAAGAACAAAAAAATCATATCATTGTGAATGAGGGGGAGTGTGGAGTGGAGACCCAAAGCTCATCTGTAGGAAACTGGAAATCCCCTTCAGAAGGGTCTCCAGGAGCAGACGAGCCAGTTAGGGTGCAGTATAGCACGGATGAAACAACTTTACTCTAGTTCTTTAATGCTTCCTCCCCCCACACTATCATGATCTCAATTTTCTACCTTACAAATCCTGCTAGACCAGAGCATGTACACTGGTACAGATAACAACAGGAAACACAGGGAATTCAGGACAGATAAATCCCTCAGGACCAATAATAAGAGCAGTGATACCAGGCAGGTAAGGGGATGGTGGGGTAGAAAGGGAACCGATCACAAGGATCTACATATAACCTCCTCCCTGCGTAAGTGGGTAAAGGGAGACATCAGACAGTGTAAGACATGACAAAATATAAATTATCCAGGGCTCGTAAGGGAGGGGAAAAACGAGGTGCTGATACCAAGGGCTCAAGGAGAAAAAATGTTTTGAGAATAATGATGGCAACAAATGTACAAATGTGCTTGACACAATGTATGGTTGTGATAAGAGTTGTACAATCCCCCAATAAAATGATTAAAAAAAAAAAGAGGAAGACCCTCAACAAGACGGATTGACAACAGGGCTGCATCAAGGGCTCGTGCATAGGAACAATAGTGAGGGTGGTGCAGGGCCATGCAGTGTTTTGTTCTGTTGTGCATAGGGTCGCTATGGGTCAGAGTGGACTCAATGGTACCAACAATAACAATGTGAGCTTCAGTGGGCCTGGTACTTGGCCAGGCTCCCAGCACCTTAACACCTTTGCAAAATGCCCAGCCTTGGTGAACCTTCAGTCCTGGAGGGCAGCGCTGGCTCTAATATCGTGAATGCAGGGATTGCAGGGGTGGAAGTGGAGCCCTGATGGGGACTCCCTGAGGGAAGCTCTGACCCAGCACAGGAGGAAGGTGAAGTGGTTAAGCCTAGGGCCCACCAGTCACACAGCCCTGCTTTATCTAGCTTTGTCTCCTCCCAAGCCTTTCTCTGCAGAGACCTGATCCACAAAGGAACTTGACACAGTGCTGAGCACATCAGTAAGTCTTAGCTCTTGTTCTTTCTATGATCATGTTTTATAAATAAAAGCAATCACACTAATGGAATGGGCTGAAAACAGAAAAAAAATCCTCCGCTTTTGCATCATGCTGGTTTTTGAGACTTCAGGAAATTGGGGTGGGGGTGGAATTAAATAAACCCGGAGAACTTTATCCAAGTGAAATTAGTCAATCTCAAACGGGCAAATATTGTATGAGACTATCTATTATAAAAAGTTAAGAATAGGTTTTCGCACTAAAAAGCCCCCGAAACACAACAGTCTTCAATGGTTACCAGGGATGGGTGGGGAAAGGAAAGAGTGGGAATCCTGGCTTGGGAGACGGACAAGTATTAACTCAGAGGAGGGGAAGGCAATAGGCAATAAAAACAGGTTGGAAAAATGCTGGAGGTGGCAGCAGATACAGGGAAGCCTGTAAGGGTTAAAAGGCAATCGAGGTAAATACTGTCAAATAAATCACACCTCAGTACTGGTGATCAATGAATAGATGCTTAGATACACATGCAGGCTAAAAAGGTGTGAGAGAAAGAGGGAGAATACACACAAATATTGAGATTTGACAGAAGATATTTGTATATGTGCTTGCTACAAATATACCCAAGAATACCAACAGGAAAAGTTATAAAACTTCTTGGACACAATTTAACACCCTGAGGGAATAAGTCACTGGACCTACGGAATCAAGACAGTCAGGCCTCCCCCATAAGGTGCAGGCCACAGCCTAATGTTCTCTAGGGTGTGGCCTAGTTCTATAAATAAGACTGTGGAGAATTACCTCCCTATCTCCTTCCTCCTACTGGCCTGGGCCCTGTGTCTGCTTCTTTGGCACTTGGGTTAGGGCCTACCATAGTGCCTGTGTTGGAGCCACTGGGCTCTGTCCCCACCAGCCGTGGTCTTCTTCCTGCTTCAATCCCTCCCTCCTGGTTCATCCTCTGGCTTCTCAGCTTCTCAGGCCTTGCAGCCATGTGAGTCAGGAAAAGCCTCCAGCTTTAACATCTGACACATGGACTTGAACCAAACTACAACTATGTAAGCCATTTATCTGGATAGAGATCTCTCTCTCTACATATAAGTGTACTGCTTTTTGTCTCTCTAGAAAAACCAGACTAACAGAAGGATCACAGCGTGGGGGGCACCAAGGTCAACTGGCACAACATAGTTCACAGAGACCATGTTATACATTCTACTTTAGGGAGTATATAAGTGGCTGTTTTTGTAAGTGACTGGATCAACAGAAGCTGAGCAGAGTATGTTCATGGGGTCAGACTTTAACAATAAGTGTAGCATTCTTATAAATTATGATAATAATAGCAATGAAAACCATGGAACTACTGTAGTCATGATTTCTGATCCCCTACTCTGGTACCCAGAGTCCTGGCGTTGCAGTGGGTTAGACACTGGGTTGCTAACTGCACACTTTGCTTTGGAAACCACCGACTGCTCCTCGGGAGCAAGATGGGCTTTCTACTCCTGCAAAAGGTGACCATCTCAGAAACCCACAGGGGCAGTCCTACTCTGGAGTCAGAATGGACTCAGAGGCAGTGAGTTTGGTTTGGGTTTGGTACTGTGCTCCTTGGGACCCCTCCCTGTGGGTGTCCTGGGTTAAGTGTTGGGCTGCTCAATGAAAGGTCTAGACATGACAACATAACCTACATTCTAGATGAAGTCCTCTATCTCAATGCGTAGTTTCCTCCTTAAGACCATTTCTTTCATCCAGTCTCTCAATTTCCATAAACATTTCTCAGGATTTATCTCAACAGATACAGTAAAGGTTAAGTATTCAAAGCCCCTCTCCATAAGATGACTTATCCTTTTCTGAGGGTGTCTTTCATAACTCCCAGTGTGCCTCCAGTTCTAGCAGGTGGACTACTCATTACTCTGCTAACAAACCCAGCACACATCAACTCTTTCACCCTAGCTGTTCTCCCAGCCTACACTCTCTGACCCTGTGTTAATCAGAGGTAATTTTACCATGTATCACTAGCTATCTCCTCTGGCCAGAGCACACGGAATCTTTATCGTAGCACACCTAGGTACAGATGCCCAATAGTCATGGGACGTGACTCTCAGAACAGCACCAGTCTCATCTGCCACTTACATAAGCTTCTTCAAGGTGGGATTTCTTCTTCTCTTTTACCCCATGTATCCCCAGGACTATCTCCTTTGGGTACTGGTTTCTTCCTTTGCTTTTTCCTTCCTATTGAGTGCAGGAATTCCTGCTACCATACAAATGATGGGGTTCCAATAATGGAATATGGATTTACCTCATTTAAGAAATATTATACAGTGAATGCTGTATGTTTCAACTATTCTCATTCCATTCAGTATTTCTAGATGTCGCTTTCATGTCTCTTGATTCGGGGGACATGTTAAAGGGTTATATTTCAGTCTCACAATTTCAATTTAGTAACCAGTTACCATCAAGCAGGTTCTGATTCAACGTGTCTGAGTAGAACTGTGCTCCACAGGGTTTCCATTAGCTAATTTGGGGGATGTACATCACCAGGGCTTTCTTCTCTGATGTTTCAGGGTAGATCTGAACCACCAACTTTTAGGTTAACAGCCAACCATGTTAACTGTTTGAACAGGGACTTTCCAATTCAGTAAATGGAATGAAATAAGCACAAAATGAAAACACCAAAAAGTATTTCGTTACGATTGGAAAAGATACAGCCTGATTTTAAAAAATGTTTTAAACTTCTGACAATTTAGGTTATATGTAAAATGGGAAATAATAATTTTTTTACACCAGATGAGGTTTTTAGGAAAAAAAGAAAACATTCAAAACTCATTGATTCCTCTGAATAAGAATTCATTCTTCTGGCATTTTATCATTGTGGTATTAAAAATAACAAAGATTACTGAAAATTTATTAGTAAATTTGACAATAATGTTGAATTTGACTAAAATGCTTAGCAAGAAGTTTTCTAAAATATACATAAAACTTTTTATCCCTAATCTATTAGCACCTCCTAGTGGAAAGTTTAAAGGATACAATTCCAACCAATCGGAATTCAGAATAGTTATCACACTTAAAGCTGCTAAACCAATGGCAATGTGAATCTTTGTGGTATGTAAACATGCCTGAAAAAGAAACATAAATTTGTTATTAATATGACTCCTTTAAAGTTAGAGGTATCTCATCTATTAGAAGCAAAACATTATAGCAATTGTTGTTAGAAGCCATCATTCCTGTTAAAAATCTTTGAGGGACTACATATTTGCAAATCTCAATAAATACAAATATATATGTATGTTAAAACATACAAAATATACATACAGACTGAAAACATGAGTGCATTTTACTGGTCATTGATAATATTGCCTGAGGGTGGAAATAGGGGTAAAATGGGGTAAACAAAATTAAATAAACCAATTTTATTTTATAAAAACTAAAGTTTTCTAGTTTTTAAGTTATATTAAAAATTAATTTTGAAGGTGATGTAAGAATTTCAAAGAAAACCAAAGGAACAGTAAGAGTTATGCTTTTAAGGTTCTCCTCTGAAGAAAAATATTTAACAAGATACTAAGGATTACATAATTTTTCTGAATAAAAAATACATATTTAAGTTTCAAATATATTCTAAAAATATGATACTTTAAAATATATATGATCAATGAATTCTTACTTGTTAAAATAGCTCATTATTACTTCATAGAAGAGGGTCCAAATGTTAGTATAGAGCAAACCATAACATTTTCAAAATTTCAGGTAATTTTTATTTCAATAATAAGGAATGCCTATGGTTTATTGAGCAAAAGTAAGAGTCTTGTTTCTTTGAAAATGCTTAATTTCAGTCTTTTGGATACATTTTGTGTGAGATTTCCATTAAGATCATAAATTTCATCAGAGAAGTTTTAAATGTAAAAAATACTATTAAAAATGTAACATTTATGGTTGACAAAAAGTCTTTAAGATCATATAAGAGATAAAAATAAAGATGACTAGTTGGATCTAACAATTAACAAGAGATTTTGTTCGTAAAAATGAGAAACATGCTTACCATAATCTGGATGGAAAATTTGGCGAATTAGAAGAAGGAACCATTCTTTAGTCAGTCCGCCCATATCCAAACCAGCTTCCCCTACAAATGTAACTTTCAACTTCTTTTTCAGGTCAGCTCTTTTCCGGGTTAACTATTTGAAGAAATTGTACAGTGGAGAAGAACCCAGCGCAGTGAAATAGACAATGAACATGTTTTGATTCTAGGAAGTGTATTCGACAGTTTTTATTTTATTTACAGTGTTACAAAGCTCAGTATGCTATTTATTCTTTCGTTCAGTAAACGTAAAGGCTGTGTGGGCTGGGTATTGTTGCTTTGTAGAGCAGGGAACAGAACTAGTGAGGGCAAGTTTACAGCTTCCTGGCACAGATTGCCCACAAGATTTTAATTTAGCAGACTACAAATATAATAAGTTCCTTTAACATTAAACTTAAAAATTTTTTTAAAAGGACATAGCTAAATCAGCTCTCTATTTTCTAACAGACATATGAAAATCTGGGTGAAACACTGCATGCAGGTAGAGCTCTAATACATGTACGTATACAATCACAGTAGGTTTGAATCTGATAGACACAATATACTTTCTAGGCCTGACACCTGTTTTACAGAGAAGTGATCTGGGGCTTGAGGAAGTGAAAATACACACTTTGCCAGTAACATAGGTGATTTCAGAATTCAGGCTAAAGTCTCATATTCATTGAGTGTTCTATCTCAACTCCTTTTCCAGGGAATTAGCAACAATCGCAACCAAATACATAAAAATACATATATAAAATGAGTATAAGGCTTAATTGTGAATATAAAACTGATTTCAATTATGGTATCAAAATACAAGGAGTACAATATACTTCTGTCATATAGGAATAAAGAAACAGCTTATAAAGCTGTCAACAGCAATAAACCATATAAGTATAATGTATAGAATGTATCCACAGCTTCAATCAATTAATCCCATTTTGGAATAAATTATCTATACCTCATCAAGTGAATCGCTAACCAGATGTGTCCGCCTTACTTTCATATTTAGAAATAACATATTCATATCAGGTCTCTGTCTTCGAGATACTTTATCCACCAGACTTTGCTAAATAAATTAGAAAGAAAATGTTTCATTTTTATTTACCAATAATTAATTTCATTTAAAATCTTTAGGCACTTAAAAAAATCTTTTGTATTCTTGTATGCTATCTCCTATATAAGCAATTTCATAAAATCAATTGCACATATATGAATAATGCTATAATTTTTGCCCTAGAAATATGACATAGGAATATTAGTTTTATGAAAATGTCTTATCATTAAGGTCAGTGATACCCAAAACAAAAACAAAAGAACCCCAAATGTCCCTGCTATCTAGTTGATTCCAACTCATATCACCTTATATAAGATCTCTAGAACTATAAATCATTGCAGGAGCAGTCAGCCTCATCTTTCTCTTGTGGAGTAGCTGGTGGTCTTGAACTGCAAACCTTGGATTAGTGGTCCAAAGCCTAACCCATGGCACAACCAGGCCTCCTTGATGATGCCCAAAGGGCGCTCAAAATGGAGGACCAAAGACAAGTAACTTTTATAAGTAAGTAATATTACATTACATTTCTCCATGTTTCACCTCTAAAATAGTTAAGTTTTCAGTTTAACAAATACAAAGATAAAATGAAAATATTTAAAACAGGTTACATACTTATTATAAATTGGACTGCTTCCTGCTATCCAGTCAACTCTGACTGGTAGGCGTCCTATAGGACAGAGCAGACTGCCCCTGTGGGTTTCTGAGATGTAATGTTTACAGGAACAGAAAGCCTCATCTGTCTCCCTTGGAGCAGCTGGTGGTTTTGAATTGCTGACTTTGGCTTTTAAAAATACCAAATTTACTTTAAAATCTTAATCTACTTTTAGAATATAATTTGTTACCATTTATCAAAAGCCTTAGCAATGTTCATAATCTTTGTCCCAATAATTTTACTTTTGAGAATCCTAAACAAGAAAATTTATACAGTCATAGCAGCCATTATCAATAAAACTTTAGAACTAGCTAGAGCATATATCCATCTAATGGTTTAAATACAGTTACTTAAAAATGATGATCATAAAACATGTTCAAGATAAAATTGAAGAAAAAGAAATAAAATTGTGTACACAATGTTTTCTTTATATTATCCTAAGTGTATATATATGTGTATATATGTGTATGTGTACATACACACACATACACCCATACACAGACCCATATACATATAAAGAATTTTTACTAAAACAATAACAGAAGTTATGTTTGGGTGGTATAAATATGGGAAATTAAAAAGGAATCTATATTTCATGGTATTTCAAAATATAAGCAATGAGTATATTAAAAATTGCATAAAATATATAAATGGCATGTAAGCTACACATGCCTGTATATTTAATTCCTTTAAGTAAGCTTTTTCAGACTACTCATTTTCTTTACTATCAAAGAGAACTAATTACTGTGCTGACTAAAGACAAACATTGTAGACAGTTTAAATATATGCAATGTGCTGCTTTAATAAAATTTGAAAACCCCAAATGTATATTTTAAGGCTCTTTTCACAGTTTTATAGGTCACGATAACAAAACAAAACCTTCATCTCTCTATTATCCAATTCTAAAGGCTGACAGTACAATGAAATCCATGAGAGAGCTGGAGCTCTACAGGATGTCTTGGTTTTCCAGGTCTTGTGTGTTTTCTGCCTTTGACAGAGTGCAGTCTTATGGCGTTTCAAATGCTTGTTTTCGTGGGAAATATTTGAATGTCCCTTCTGACAGATTTCCCACCTTACACAGGCTCCAGTTTTCTCTGGTTTTACTCTAACAGCCCTTTGCTTCATTGGATGCTGCCTCCCTTTGGTAGACACAGAAATCTACAATTCGGGGAACTATCCTGTGTCCTGGGCCTTTTTTCCCTACCCTTTCCTGCTTCTGTTCAGTTTGCTTCCTGGTGAGCTGTCATAATGAGAGAAATCAATCAATAAATTGATTGTTACGAACAGACCAGGCTTAGTGGTGACTCCTCCCAACAGGAATTCATGTTTTAACAGAGAAAAGCTCTAACCAAGAGAAATAAGCCAACAGTGTGATGAGGACACTGTTTGTTGGTTGGGGAATCACTTTTGCAACTTTAGATCATACACTTAAGCTCTTGCATATCTGCCAGGTGGCCTTCGTGCCAAAAGAGTCACTGGTGAATATTGTACTATATCAACTCTAAGTAGTATGGTCGATTATAGGTTAAAATTTTGGTGAGTACCCTAATCAGTAATGCCACTTGAGTCTTCAATATTCCTCATGTGCTTTCACACTGTGTGGAAGACAGCCCGTGACAGTCTATACCTGCCATCAATCTACACCTGATCTGTGTCTGTGAAACAGATGAAAAACAAAACAAAACAAAACTGCTCAGAGAAACCTAGATTAACTTCTAGATTTGGGGGCATTTTTTCCCCTTACAAATATCGAAAATCCAAGCCCAAGGTGGAAAAGCATGAAAAAGGCCCATGGAATTGTACAAATGAAGTATGTCAAATGGCTAGCTATGTAATCTTTGAACAAAATGATAAAATAACGATTCTGGTCCTAACTATCAGAATCTCACTGTCATCGAGTTCATTCCAAGTCGTGGCAACCCTATAGGACAGGGTAGAACTGCCCCTGTGGGTTTCCCAGACTGTAACTTTATGGGAGTAGAAAGTCTCATCTTTCTCCCCCAGAGCTCCTGGTGGCTTCAAACTGCTAACCTTGTGGTTAGCAGCGTAACTCATAATCACTATGCCACCAGAGCTCCTACCTGGTTCTAAATATCCTTGTTTACACTCATTCTTCACTGGGTAGTGTGGCTTTGGAACTACCTTGGTAGGCATAACGATACAGGTTCTTCTAATATTCCCTCATCAATAGGGTTTAAGCTGACTTTGGAATGTCACTAGTTACTTAAATCTTTTGTCCTACTCTCTACAATTGAAGAAAAATTTCACCGCTGAGAACTGAATAACTGAGGAATAGGCAATTCATATTTTTATAGTATTTTAAAGTATTATACTTTATGCTTTAGGGTTTTATTTGTATTTTGCACAAGACATGGTAATCATTTCTTTTCCCTCTATGCTTCTCATTTTATTTTAGGAGCTACGGCCCACATTCCCTCTAATTTTCTAAAGTTGTGAGTAGATAATCATATCTCAAAAGCATATCCTCAAAATATATAAGCAGCACTCTAAGTAAACAGAACATTTTCATGTAGAATCTAAAGCTGTAACAAAAATCCCCACAATCTTCTAGCAGAGAATGTGTCTGACTTAACGGTGCTGTGTGACAATGAAAAGCAGCGGGTGCGGGTGCAGGTCAGGTTAAGTGCTTAGTTGCTAACTGTAAAGGTTGGTGGTTAGAACCACCTGCTGTTCCACAGGGCAGATCTGTGGTGCTCTGCTTCTGTGATGATTTAAAGCCTTGGAAACCCAATGGGGTAGTTCTACTCTGTCTCACTGGGTCGCTATGAGTTGGAATTGACTAGAAGGCAATTGGTTTTATGACAATGAATTAAGTGGCATGGGTCATAAGGACATGCCTACAGATAAACCTTATTCTGCTCCACAGTTGGCCCAAAGTCAGCCTGGGTTGATATCCCAGGTTCTATGAGCCTCAGGCATCAGGATTTGCTAAGAATCAACAACACATCTTTCACCTTCTTTGGGGATATATGTTACTTCTACAAGAGGGATACTTTTTGCTACATCTTCTTAATTTTTGGTTTCCATACTTGATTTTCACAAAACTTAAGACTATATTTCAGTGGATGGAAGGGTTTGCTCTTATGGACACTGCATTATTGCAGTTCATGTTAATGCTAAGCTGATAACATAGAGATGCAATATAATCTCTATAAAATGAGGCCTGCAAACTCCGAGTACTTCGGGCTTATGGGCAGCATTTACTCCTCCTGCTTCATTAGCAAATTTAAGGAGAAGCTGATTTAGGAGTGGTAACTGAAGCATGCCTTCCTTCCTGTTATCTTCAATAGGCTAAAGCACTTTTGAGGGGAACACAATATGAATTTCACTTTTAATATTTCCTGATTATGTTTGAACAATTCACAAGACAGTTGGCTTATTAACTGAGTTATTATTGGATTCTAATCAACACAAATACGTTTTCATAAACGGCTTACCCTTGCGATGCTTATCATTTGCTGTTCTGAGTCTCTTTGAATAATAATTTTTTTTGCTGCTATTGAAATAACAAATGGGTACTGACAGAAGGAAAACCTGCTCAACAAGTGAAACAAAAAACAAAATGGTGTATTTTTAGCAAAAAAGTATCCATTCTAATATTATAAAACATTACTTTTGTAGGATGTTTTACCATCTGCAACATGATTTCAGGTGGATCGTTTTTTAATTACTAGTGGTAGACTGCTTTTATTCTTAAGAAAGGTACATCTAAATATGAAATATGTGCTTATTGTCACTTGCATTCATACAATTATTTCAGTTGTTTTACAGCCCTCTGAATTGTATTACCTGCGACACCACCAGAACCAGGAGGCTGAAGTGCTGACAAAGGCGGATTAGGTCAGAAAAGTCACCGGCTCAACTGAACATAAGAATTTACTATTTTATGGCTATTTTTGAGGTGTGAGCTTCAGAGCAAAGTAAGACCAAGTAAAATAAAAGCTAGAACAAAGAATGTTTTTCTATAATTAAAATGTGTCATAATATGAAGTCGTATATATCTGTAAGACCCAACATTGTAATGACAAGATATGGACATAATGTCTTTCACAGCTCATTCTGTTATGTACAAAAGTCATCAAACACAGAGAAATGCATGGGAAATCACCTATTGTGTCTAGTAATGGTCACGTAGACACTTCAGATCATCACATCATCAGAAGTAACTGCAGTGGATCCATAATTATAGTTGGGATCTAGCCAAGTGGTTAAGTGGTGCATCTGTGATCACTACAATGAAGGTCAAGGAGATGGTCTTATGTGAACTAAAAATGAAACGCTTTCCCTTTGGGGCAAAATTAAATACAGACAGACACACGTGCAACACTAAACAGGAGTTCTTCAGTACAATGTTAATAATTTTGGATCACTAAACTCTAGCTGAAAATCTGGAAGTGAAAATAAAATGCAATGAACTCGGTGGAGTATACGATCTTGCTTGTATTATGTACATTACAACAGTGCTTCTCAACATTTCCCCATCATGTCACAAATTGCCAGAGGGAACTTGCCTTAGGGTTTTAGGTCCTCCCCAGGTGGAGGATAACAGCCCAAAGGCTGAAGGGATCACAGAATCAAAACTCCTATGTAACTCATTCTTGTAAACCAAAGCTATGGCACACTGGTTAGAGGATACACTGCATTATGCCCAATAGTTCTTGGGGTTCTGAGATTTTGTACACAGCATCACAACTGTATCAGAATGTGAGAATGACATGTCCATTAAACCAACTGTATCAGAATGTGAGAATGACATGTCCATTAAACCAGCTTTGCTAAGAAAATATCCATCACTGACCGAGATCTCCAGACACTGAGTTCTTACTCAGTTTTGAGTGTTCAAGTATAGACTAAGTCTATGTTTTAAGCCAATTCTGGTAGAACCATTTTCTGACAAGTTGAATCAATTTATGAACTAATCTTGGGTTTTAGGGCTATTTATAACTATGTCAAGTATTTTATAGTCAGTGTCTTCTACAATACGTTAAATCTCCTGACTGTGTAAAATAAACTAACAACTCCACGTACTAGATTTGGCATTGGCAAAATAGATACAACGGGACATATAAGGCCTACCACTTGTTTTTAAAGGTAAACTACTTTGGGACACAGCCAGACCTGTTTGTTTGCATATTGTCTAGGGCTGCTCGAATGTCATAATGGAAGAATAGAGCATTCATGTCCTACAGAGCTGGACATATTTACCTGACCATAGGAAGAATCTGTTAACCCCTGAGCTGGATAATGGCACAAAGGATAAGAAATCACAAATTGCATACTAAGAAGGAGTCTTTCCCTTCCTGAAGAGATGTTATTAACCAAACTACCATCAAATTAACATGTATATAAATCCAAAGGTAACAGAAAATGAAAATGCTTTCAGAAATAAAATGACATTTCTATGTTGACTATCTTCTTTGTAAGTTTTGATGTGAATATACGTACATATTTTAATTTATCTATACATACTTAAAATTAAGTCACTACTTTTCATTGTATGCTATTCAGGGATTAACCAAATGAGCTTTCAAGCTTACCTGTGAGAGTTTCCAAAGCTCTGCCAGGTATGATATTCTTCCATGAGATCAATGTGATCCAATGTAGAATTATAGAAATCAGTATACAAAATAAGGGGAGGGTGAACCAAATTGTTTGATGTATCTGTAAAGATAAATTTTAACATATGAATTTTTCCAACATACACATGATTTGTTCTAATAATGAAGAGGTCATTTTAATGTCTACCACACAGCCATTGCTAGAAATCCCTATTTCAATTCATTGTAGCTCCAAATGGAAAAGGTGATTTGAATATTATAGTCAAAATGCAACCCACAAATCTTGGCTTAAAATACCCCTTGTGGTGGTCATTATAACAGCAGCAAAGAGGAAGCACAAATGGCCATTGACTTGTGCGATTTTCCTGGGGTGTGCTCTCTCCTGGGGTCCTCAGTGAGGAAAGGAAAGTCCTCTTCTCTCAGAAATCAGTACTTAGCAAGCAAAGCCACATGCATTGGCAGCCATAATACAGAAGACTGTACATAATACAAAATATCCATTTTTTTCAGGCTTATAAATTAATTGTGAAATTCATTATGAAAATAGAAAATAGATTACAGTTATTTTCTTCAAAGGAATAGGTAGAAGTTGAATAATGCCTCCACAGGACACTAAGATCCTTAAAGGAAATATGCCCAATATTTATCAAAAGAATAAAAACCTACTAAGTAAAGCCAAGACTTTAGATGCTGATGGAATCCACCAGGAACACTTTGTGATAGGTGGAAATTCTTCAGGCTTTGCAGGAAACAGGCGTAAAGAAATAAACTGCAGCAATCTCTCTACCAATTGTTTGAACCTCTTCTGGGATAATCTGGCAAAACATGTTGAAAATATTCCAATCAAAATTCACACCTTCTATTTAGTCATTATATTTGTTAATTATTAAACCACATCCTATATATATAAGATATGCCCCCAAAATTCTATTTTTTAAAAAGTCAGGAAATCTAAATTTGAATACAGTTTCTAAAAATTAAGCACTCAAACTACCATAGAAAGTTTAACTATATAATGAGAGGGGCTTTAAGAAGTTTGTGGGAAAACTGAATGAAAAGACAGTGAGTTTTTTTTAAAATGTAAACATTCTCAGACCCCTCGTTTTAAAAATTAAGTTTAGAAATACTTTGTCTCTTTCAGCTTTTACTAATCATGGAGAAAAGTCACTGCTAATGTGAGTGTAGCTCTATGGGAAAAAAAAAGGATTGTGCTTTTACAAGTTGATATTTAGGGCAAACTTGTATTTTATAATGACCGTTTGTGATGAGGAGAAGGCATCATGTAAATACTGGTAATATTTACTGATAAACAGTCAGGAAAATTACAATACTTAAATTAAAATAGTTAAATTTAAGTCTCACAAAATCCAGCCACCATCTCTGGGAGCTATGAAAAACCAAAAATGGGAATGTGCTATATATAGGAAGCAAAAGCAGTGGAGAGAAATTCTTAGCTACCACTGTAAAAGCAAAATGATTACTTACATTAAAAACGGATTTTCAATTATTTTCTATTACAAAGTATATTTTTATAGCTGACTTTTGAAGCATTATAAATCGCTAGCATCCTATCCAAAGAGCCAAAACATTTACATATATCTTACCATAAAATTCTAATAAAAATCTTACTTAAAATGGTATCTTTTTAATATAAGTTTTAAATATCATAGAATGATTTACTTTTTAAACCAGTGAATTAGGAAGTGATGGTCAGCTTCCACTAAGGAAGATATCTGTCGTAGCAAGTGAGCATAGATGACATATGTCGATGTGTTATTAAATTGAGGATTCTGTAAAAGATATTAAAAACAATGGTGTTAAAATTTTGAAACACGTAAAAGACACCAAGCTTAATGTGGGTAAGTTGTAAATCAGTAAGACTAAATTTGAGACTATAAGATATTGGGTGACTATCCTTTGAAACAATAATCTATTTACTATTTAACTAATATGGACACTTTAATACTGCTGTACAGTTGAAAGAAAGCAGTTCTGGTGGCACAATGGTTAAGCTCAACTGGCTGCTAACCAAAAGACTAGCAATTTGAATCCACTAGCTTCTCCACAGGAGAAAAATGGGGCAGTTGGTTTCTGGAAAGATTTCAGCCTTGGAAAGCCTAGTGGGCAGTTCTCCTCTGTCCTCTGGGGACCCCTCTGAGGCAGAATTGACTTGATGGTAATGAGTTGTTTATTCAAAGAAATATAGTAGAAAGAACATGGCTCTGAATTATAACATGTGGGTCCAAGGCCAAATTCTACCACTTCCCAGTTGTGTCTGAGCATTTTCCTAAACTTGGATTCTCAGTTTCCTCATCTATAAAATGGGAATAAGATCTACCTGAGGGGCTGCTCTGAGTAATAATAAAGAAAATGCATGTAAAACACCTATTTCAATGCCTGGTACGAAGTAGACATTTTACAAATGGTGGCAATCACTATCACCCAGCCAAATGAAAAGTCCAGGCTTTCCATGATGAGAAGGGAATGCTAGTTAAGTGAAATTAACATGGATCATGAAACCTTCTGTCACTGTGAAAGGAAGCAGCCCTCCATCTCACAAACAGCTCTGACTCCGTATAGATGTCAAAGGGACATTAAACGAAGCAAAACCTTGAGGGATTTTTCTAAACTCCAAGACTCCATCACAAGACACCTTACAGAACACCTCATGAGAGGAAAAAAAAAGAAAGCTATCTGAAAATAAACGACAATTTTGAAAAAATAGGAGAGCACTGTGTGCTTTATGAAACTGATTTATTGGCAGGACAATTCAAAATGGAGGTGTGACCCAACTGGGTAAGTCCATCTAGTGAAAAGAAAAGGATGTTATGAACAGTTTGTTGTTGTCTAATTATACTCGTCTAAAAATTGACCTGCGTGTTGTCATTTTTCTAGCTTTTACTTTTAGATATATTCCTTTCTTCTTTCTCCCCTCCCCTCCCCCTAGTTCTTCCCTTTTCTCCTCCTCCATCTCTCTTCATAACTGCCTCTCCGCCACTCTGACCCCAGCTTTCCCCACGTTTTCTTTTCTCCCTCTTTCCTCCCCACTCTACTTCACGCTTCATTTTCCTCAACTAATATCGAAGTCAACACTATATCCTTAGTATAATGCTTTCTTACCTTCAAATGAAAAATATTCTATGATAACGATAACCATAGCAAACACCTTTCGTAAATTGTAAATAATAATACAAATGCAGCCAGTTTATCTATGGCAATAGCATTTCAGCTCAAAAATAATAGAAACTGAAGTGGGTTTTTATTTGCCTGAGGTACAGCTTTCTCGTTATTTCAATTTATGAACCTGTATCTTTCAAGAGGAAAAAGTTCACCATCTTTGCATTAGCAAATAGAAATAACAACTTTCATCTTTCCATTAGAATATTAAACTAAGCTATACTGAAAAATACGTAGAAAAATTAGAAACGTACTTACTCCAAGAAATCCCCAAACCCAAACCCACCAAACCCACCAAACCCACTGCCATTGAGGCCACTCTAACTCCAAGTAAGCTGGGTAGGGTTTCCAAGGTCATTCTTTACAGGAGCAGGTCGCCTCATCTTTCTTCTGTGAAACAGCTGATGCACTGACCTTGATGTTAGCAGCCCAACAACTCTCACCTGACAGCTCTACCACACCTTCTTATAAACTTATTAGTTGGGGGAAATAAAAGAAGCCTTGGGGCCTATTAAAACTAGTTACAAGACAGGACATTGAGGGAGGGAGAAGTGTTCCTATTCTGTTTGTCCCTAAATAGCACGCAGGTCAGTAAGAACATAATGAACTCTGTAATCTTGTCAATATTTAGCTCCTGATTGTTTATTTGTTAGTGTGAATCTTCTGATCAAAGTAAATCTCATTATAAAAAGTAACAATGTGTTACACAAAATAATACTTAGTATTTGATATTATTTCACTTATATATGATTGAGATCTTGCTTTCTTACCTGCAAAAGTATAAAATAAGCTCTAAGATCATCTTTTGTTCGTGGACTGAAAAAAATAGAAAAAATATATTGAAAGCCAATATCTGATTATAGATGATTGTTTAATTTCATAGTAGCTAATACAAAAATGATCAAAAAGTGCTTTTGTGAGATTTAAGTTGCTAAACAACAAAAACTAGCCTTAAGGCTGATTCTGAAGAGCTCTAAAAACAGTTAACTAGGCTATAACATTCCGTAATGCGAGTATCACAGCTAGCTGGAAACAGTCTAATAACCCACGATTCCAGAAATACTGCATTTTTGCTTTAATAAGAGATAACTGAATCTTTAGAATACATGCTTGAAGTGATGTATTTGGAAATAGCTGCAAATCAAATCCTGTTTTCAATGGCCCCAGGGCATAGCTAATTAAAAATCATATTGAAATGGCACTAACTGATTTTTAAATATTTTCCATGTTAATCTGGATTTTTATGGTGAAGAATTTCTGGGCTTCTCAAGGTTGGTGAGTATTTCTTTCTCTTAATATGCATTTGATAGCTTCTCACACAAAATGTAGTTATTTCTGGAATTAAAAGTGGTTTATCTTTATGATAATTTGCTGTGATAATTTGTAAATAAGATAATTTGATATAATGCAAAACCACTGGACTGGGTCATGAATCGAAAAACAAAACTTGTATGTTAGAGAATGCTTCTGTGATAGCAGGGGAAGTTTAAATGTAGACTGCACGCTAGGGAGTATTACCATATCAATGTTAAATTTATTTGATGTGATAGTGGTGCTATGGTTATGTAGAAAAATGTTCTTATGAAATAGATCTTGAAGTAATTAGGGGTGAAATGCCATAATGTCTTGAATTTACTGAAAAATTTACACTCAGAAAAGCAAATGGCTCAAGTGAAAGGTATTTATTGTGTTCATTCTGTAACTTTCTTGTAGTCTGAAGTTTTTCAAATTTAAAAGTTGGGGCAGTGTGGTTCCCCACCTCCTTTCAATTCCCTTCAGAAAATAAAATGATCAAAAGTTTATTTACTTTTCTGTTAAAGTTACTAAACAAATCTGACCTCCTGAAGTTCCTCTATTGATCTTCCTAAGCCTAGTTTCCCCACCGTGGCTGATCATTGGAAACATTTGGGGCTCTGCTGAAACTAGAGATTCCTGGGCTGTATGTGCAATCTAGTGAGCCAGACTCTCTAGGGGAAGGGCCAAAGATCTGCAGTCTCAACAGCTCCTCAGGTGATCCCATGACTGGTCAAGTTTGGGAACCTGCGCTCCCAAGCGACATATCTTGTTTACATTTCTGCTGAGAATGGCTTTCATTTAGAATTTCTTTCTGATGGCCAGATACATGCACGTATATTAAATATGTATGAGATTTCTAAGTTAAATGTTTATATTGATTAGCTAAATCTTGGTTCTAATTACCCTTTCCATTCTCTTAACAAGCTGTTAATGATTCCCTTTAATACGGTCTTCTGAATATCTTGAGGCTGTAGGTAAAAGAAAAGTCAAAAGGTAATTAGGATGAACTATTAAGAAAGGTGTTATATGTTAATTATAACTTCAGACTTGTTTCAATTCTTGAAATCAGATTTGATAACAATTATGGAACTGAAATTATGTTTCAGTTTCACACTTTTGAACCCTAGAGAGTGGCAATGACTCAGACTACCCAATGAGACACTGGCCTGGAAGTGCACCACGCAACCTGGATAACCATAGCTGGTGGCCCACCGATAACCTACAGTGGTTTTGTAAACTTGAAAAACAAATTTACTTTCCCGACTTGACAGGATAAAAATCACAAACATGCGTCTAAGAGTACCGGCTGCACACATTTTAAATATATTTAATCTACTAGTACCCTGCAACAACTAGCAATTAAACACACAACTACTAGGAAGTGCAACTTAATTATATTTAAATTTAAATATGATAAAAATACATTTTATTATAGGATAAAAGGTTTGGAAGAGGCAGAAAATAACTTTCCTTTATCATTTAATAACACAAATAGTACAACAAATAGTATTCACTACTGAACATCTGGAATAAAAATGGATAGAGTTTTAGCATATAATAAATAATGAATAAAACCTTCATGAACTAGAAGCTTCAAATTAAAATTTTTGTTTTTTAAAAAAAATTAAGACACAAATGCCAAAGAAAAAGGGTATATTATGGATTTGTTTAAACGCCATAATCATGACTTCTAAGACACGTCTAGCTGCCCTCAGATAATAATTCAATGTCTTAACAACTTAAAAATCATTCCTTTCTCTTTCTCTGCTTTTAGTGAGCTTTCACACCTAACAAGACAACTGCAGTACTGCTAATTTAACCACCCACGAGAGGCCTGCCCTTGAGTAGTGGGAAGGTGCTGGAGAAAAACCTACATTAAGTTCTGATTCGACCCACTTTATGACCACAAGTCTCCAGAGGACACGTACATTCCATTGAGAGTCTTATATTTCCCTTGCTCATTTGCTTTCCTTCTTTCCAACCTAATCAAACCTCGAAATTTTTCAAATCGCCAACACTTTATCATCACTCAGAGAAAACAGATGTCTTCAGAGTAGAAGTAATTTTTTTCTCTCAGAGAACTAAGCCTCTTTATTTCCTTGTTTCACAAATAAAACTGACTGCTTTGGTTGCTTTTTGGTGACTAGTCAAAGAGACCAAATCCCATGTCCTCGTCCCACTCTTCCGATTCCTCCTTTGCTTCTTGCTCGGCTGGGGCCCAAGCCGCAGGAGCAGCAGCAGTGGCGGCGGCAACCACAGGGGCAGCGGCCACAAATGCAGATGGATCGGCCAAGGAAGCCTTGACCTTTTCAGCCAGTGGGAAGCTGTGCTCAGTCTTCACAGACAAAGTCAAGACCTGCTTGTACCCATTGATGATGGAATGGGACACAGAGGCGACAGTTCAGTAGCCAATCTGCAGGCACACGCTGGCAACACTGCGGACACCCTCCAGGAAGCGGGTGTGCAGAGCTTCTTCTGTGATGTCAAGCACTTCCGGGTTGTAGATGCTGCCATTGTCAAACACCTACTGGATGATCAGCCCAAAGGAGAAGGGGGAGATGTTCAGCATGTTCAGCAGGGTGGCTTCGCTGGCACCCACTTTGTCTCCAGTCTTGATCAGCTGCATGTCACTCAGGATTTCAATGGTGCCTCTGGAGATCTTCATAGTAATGCCCAAAGCCTGGAAGAAGGAGGTCTTCTCGGGACCCAGGCCCGTGTTCTGAGCCGGCACAGTCACCTCACACGGGGCGATGGCACCAGCACGGGCGGCAGCTGGCAGCTTGTTGGCCAGCAGCATATCTCTGATCTCAGTGAGGTCCTCCTTGGTGAACACAAACCCCACATTCCCTCGGATATGAGGCAACAGTTTCTCCAGAGCCGGGTTGCTCTCCAGATGCCCTCGGATGGCCTTGCTTATCATGGTGTTCTTGCCCATCAAGACCACGGCCTTCCCGCGGAGGGACATGCGGATCTGCTGCATCTGCTTGGAGCCCACATTGTCTGCTCCCACAATGAAGCATTTTGGATAATCATCCAAAAGTTGGATTATCTTAAGGAAGTAGTTGGACTTCCAGGTCGCCCTGTCTTCCCTGGGCATCAAGGTGGTGCATCAGGGATTGCCATGCGGGGTTTAAAGACATTGTCACCATAAGAGGACGCCTGTCGAGAACTAGAAGTAATTTTTTGATTCACCATCATTTGTATCTGAACATGATCAAGGCCAACCCCTCCACTTGGACGTCATTTATTCCACACCCTTTCAATTTGTCAATACCTAGTTATTGCTCTTTTGTCTTCTCTTTCCAGTACCATCGATTTCCCGCTCTCTACTAGATCTCTCCCATTAGTATTAATGCCACACGCTAATTCTCACTTTTGCTGACTTTCTTTGCCACATCTACTTTTACTCTGCACTGTCAGGAGACGGATCCCCACAGCTGGCATTCACCCGTTTAGACGCCTTTGCCTTCAGTTTGATTGAGTTTGTCAAGAGGGAGCACGAGCAGCAGATGGAGGAGTGGGAGCTTCAGGGTCTCCATGGGACGGCTGCCACGGGTGGGGTCGACTGTGGTCCATATAATACCGCCCTTTCCTCCACAGACCATGTCCAGGCTCACCCCTGGGATGCTCTACTGTGTTTCATGGTTTCCCTTACACCAATAACAACTTTAAGAGCCCTCATTCATTTGCCTAATTTGAGTCTTGTGTCTCTTTCCTGCCAGAACCCTGACCAGTAGTATTGTTCTTTTTAAGAACCCCTCGTTTGGCTCCAGGCACTACCAGCTACCCCTTTATTTTCCTTCACCAGAAAAACTTTTTAAGATCATCTGTACAAACTGTTCCTATTTTCCTCATTCTATCTTCAGCCCACTACAAGTAAAAGCTTTTGGCCCTAAATTGCTACTGAAATGACTGTTTAAAGTCTTCCTATTTAAAGACAATGGTCATTTCCTCATCCAAATCTTAATGCTACATCCCTCAGCAGCATTTGAAATGACTGATTACTCCCTCCTTGGAATCCTTTGCTGGAGCCTAAGCCCTCTTAGTGTGGTCATTTAAAGAAAGAAAAAGTACCTTTTCACATGTTTAATAAATGAAGTATTGACACTGAGAATTAGATAAAGATGCCTGCTATCACTTCTTTCATTCAAAATTGTACAAACATTCCTAGTGTAATAATTCAAACACATAAATAGAAGATAAACCTGGCAAAAATTAAATTGCCATTTCCCACAAGTGACAGAATTATAGAAGTAGAAAATTCAAATAAATTACTTATGTATCATTAAAATTAGAGTGAATTCAGCAAGGCCACTGTATGAAGTTAAATATGTGAAAATATTTCCCTATACTAGCAATAATTAGAAAATGAAATGACCATACTAAAAGAGGGAAGTATCTAGAAATAAAGTAGCAAATGTGTAAGACTTCTGACCAGAAAACTACAAAGTGTTACCAAAAGAAAATTTAAAAGATCTAAGAAATTGGAAGACTACGGTGTGCTCAAGGATTGGGATGATTTAAATTCTTCATAAACTGAACTACAGTGTTGGGGTTCTCAAAGGGTGGTTACCAGGTCAGTAACATAAACAGAACCTGGGGTTCTCCAAGAAATGGGGATGTTTGTGTCCTACCTCAGACTTATGGAATTTGAAGCTGTATTTTAACAAGATTTTCCCATTTTTCTGATACGTGCTACAGTTTGAGAATCACTGACCTATAGACGAATGCAATTCCAATACAATCAAATAACTTACCTCTTTTGCTGTGCAAAGGAAGCATAACTTTATTTTAGAAATCTGTAAGACTGGACGTACAAGTAGTTGCTGCTTAATTTTCAGTTAATTAGAAAAATAAAGTAATAAAATTATCCAGTTTTCTGAGAATTGCAACTAATTTAGTATCAGATTTTGTAATTATGTTGCAAGGTGACTCTTACAATATTGCTGGAACTAGTTTTGAAATACAGAAGGCACGAAATGACTACAGACACGTGTTTGTAAATGATACTTACAGTATTAAGTAAGGCATCATACACAGCATTCACAAATTTAGCATTGATCCCAGAGTCATCAATGGTACTGAATGAGGCCGTGGCATCTTTCTGCAAATGCAATTACATAGTCAAGTGCCTATAACATTTTATGAACTATTCTAATCTGTGAACCACAACTATACCTTCATCATTTCTACCTTGTTTTTGTGATGGTGAAAATTGACTATTAGTATAAAAAAAATGAACATAAAAAATGAATGGCATAAGAATGATTTTAATAACTTTCCTTTGTAAAAATGAAAGAATGAGTGAAACGGTATAAATAAAAACACAAATAAAAATTGTTATGATATCGCTTATGTAATATTTGATCATTCACAGTATATGACGTCTGAAAGCAATTCATAAGTGTGCTGGTTAAACTATTTGATAGAAAATAAGGTAAACTTATCATATATTTTTGGGAAAATTTAAAACTAAAAATGAATTGTAAGACATGTGTTACGTATTCTTACCTTAAACGCAGCACTTAGTTCTGGGAAAGAATCAAATGTTGTCAGATAAAAATCATGTACTGCTTTCCAATCTCCTGATGACTTAACTTTTTCTACATCTTCCCTAAAGTAAGAACATACATTAACCATATATTGATATAATATCCAGAAAAAATAGCATTACTTCTTCACACATAAATGTTATCAAGTATGTACTTTGAAATACTGAAACTAAATATAGAAATATATATCAGCTGGATAATGTAAACATAGTTTATGTATTTATAATTCTTAACTGGATTAAGATATAATCCCCTTGCAACTTTCTTAATTACCTGTTTTTGAAAGTCATTCTTGACATGTTCCTTCCAAGTACTACTATCTCTTTCCTTGCTTCAAAGGCAAACACCTGGAGAGATTTCGTCTGTATTTGTCTACTTTCTCATTCCCAATTTACTTTCACTATTCCACTTGGATTTTTTTCAGTGGTGACACAGCTATTACTACTTCTTATTAGTTTGTTTTCACTTTCTACTTCATTTGTGTCTTCATTCTTCATTAATACCTTAATAAGGATCAGCTAACTCTTCATACAAAGATGTTTAATTATGGAACGTGCTGACATGCACTAAGTCCATGTATACATATAATGGTGAGCTGGCACTTACTGAAAGTCTTTCATAGTTTTGGGCTGGCCAGAAAGGGTAGGTTCTGGAAGGGCCAAAGCCTTCGTTTCGGATGATAATGCATCCATCGAGATGCGCTGTTTTTGTCTAACATCAAGGCAAAGAGGAGGGAGGTCTCTCACTGTGAAGTATAAAAAACAGTGAATGTATTTAATCATAAAATGTTTCCAAATTATAAACTGTAAGGCTAATTTGACAAGAACAGAAAATGTACCATAAGTGCAGGGCAACTATTGTATCTATTGTCTACTGTCCTCCCTTCTAAACTCTATCTTATATGTGTATATGTCATATGGAGCTTCTTCTCTTCCCCTCTTTTTAAGTTGTCAGTGGATGTAATATAGTGTTCTTTCCCCTCTTTCCTTTCAAAACTATTTCAGTGAGGTTCAAAGTTAATGTTTATTACCCTCTTGAAAATATGTAAAATATCAATGCCCTCTGCAATGTGTTACTAGAGTTTTAACACAATATTATCAATTTACATACATTTTTAGTGTATTTTCCTCTTTTGCAAATATCTTCCAGTTTGTTTTCCTTTTTGTTAGATTTTATAACCTTTTAAGTATAAAACCAGGAAAATCTCAAACATATGTCTTAATGAATAATTATAAGGCAAAATACTTTTGAAGTCACAAACTACTCAAGAAAGAGCAAGTTATCAGCCTGCTCCCAGAAGCTCCATCAAGTGCCCCTGCCCCAGCATCTGTTAAAACCTTCTCCCTTCAAAAGTAACTACAACTCTGACTTTTTAGTCACTTCTTTCTTGTTAGTTATAGCTTTTTTTTAATCAAGCAAGTGTGCAGCTCTAGACGAGATAGTTTAAAACAAAAGAAATGAAAAACTTGGTATGTCTTTCAAGTCTCTTCTAATCTACAGGTTTCCTCCTTCATTCTAGTTTTTCTTAACAATTTCCTTGGGGAAGAACTTGGACCCTTTGCCCTTTATGTTTCCTATGGTCTGGATAGTGCTGATTGCACACTCGTGCCGGTCAACATTTTCCTTTGTGCTCAATATTCTTGCAAATAAGTTGTTGCCTCCAAAACCTTATCAGATTCAGTTTCTATCATTTTGGCAAGACCGTAATTGGTGTGCTGTCCATTCACCTGAAGTCATGTTTGGCTGCCTCTCTTTGTGTGATGCCACCGGCCAATGATGTCCGAAGTCTAGATCCTTTATTAGGGATTTCTTAAATGGTGACTAAGTAATTATATACTTTTTCATTTATTAGTTTGAACATTTTGCTATCATTTGGTTGGCAAGCAGCACAATTCATATGAGGAAGGGTAGAATAGATGCTTGATCTTTTCCCCTTTATTTACCAGTTTTAAAAATAATACATTGATTCATTATTATCCTCTACAGTTTCTCTTTCAAAAAATACTATTAAGAATTTATGGATTTAAACATGCAGAATAGATTTCTATCGTAAATTAAATTGAGCCCTTCATTTTCAGGTGATTTGTTTATAAACATGATATAAAAATTACAGATAAATAATTAGAAATAATAGAAAAGCTTAGAAATGTGGAGGGATTAAAATAATTCAATATATAAGAGTCAATTACAATAAATGCCAGCAAAAACAAACTAGAAAACAATTTTTAAAAAGAAGATATTTACAAAACCATAATGAATAAATTTTAAGATCTTGATAGTAAAATTTTATTGAGAGACATTAGAGACAACTTAGGTAAATAGATATAATAAAAATTTTCCTATCGGCTGAATGCAATGAAAACCCTCACAATATTTTGGAACATGATAAACTGATTACAAAAGTTACATAGAAGATCAAGGGGGAAAAATAGCCAGGTGGTAAAGTAGGTTAAACACTGGACTAGTAACCATAAGATCATCAGTTCCAGTCACTAGATATTCCAAAGGAGGAATATGAGGCTGTCTGCTCCCATAAACATTACAATCTCAGGAACCCAAAGGAGCAGTTCTACTCTGTCCTGTAGGGTCAAAATCAGGAGGATTTTCTGAAGAAAAAGATTACGGAGAAGGTCTTGCCTTATCAGATAGCAGAACTTCTGAAGTCAAAGCAACTAAGACAATGCTTCATTTATATAAGTTTATGGATCACACAAATGATCGACAGCATAGCGTCCAGAATAATATTCATACATTATGAAGGGGATTCACAATTCTATTAATTTTAATTACACTTTTCTACAAATGTTTTGACACTCCTTGGTGTATAAAATATATATGTGTTTATACATATTTGTATATTTACATGTATATAAATACATACATACATGGCAGATGACTGAAAAAAGGAAGAATTTGAAAATATGGCTAACCATATGGGGGGAAAGTTAAGTAGAATCCTTATGGCACACCTTAATAAATTAAATGTCAAAAGCAAAACTACAGCAAAAGCAACACTTTCTGACTTTGGGATAGAGAAAAGTTTCTTTTTTAAAAAATCTAAAGAGCACAACTAGAAAATTAAAATGTGCTATTTTTGAATATGTTGACATGAGAATTTCAGATAATAAAACATGCCTGAAAGTAAAAAGAAAAGTTACAATTTTTTCAGAGAAATTATTTTAAATATATATATAACAGGGGATTAGTATCAAGATTTTATCGCTATTTCCTAAAAAGCAGTGAGAAAATGAAAGATAATTCAATAGAAAAACATACAAAAGAATCAAGCAGGCATTTCAGAGAAGAGGAATACACATACCTCTACGAAGATATGTTTAGTCTCAGTAATTAAGAAAAAGGAAATAATAGCACAAGATACCATTTTGCACCCAACTGTTATCAAGAATTAAAGTGTATGACAATTCCCAATGTTGGAGATGTTGACCAGTACAGTTAAGTATTTCAGGATGTTGTTTTCATTGAGTTGGCTCCACCTCCTTGTGACTGTTAGGGACTGAATTGCATCCCCCGAATATATATCAAATTGGTTAGGCCATGATTCTCAGTATTATGCAATTTCCCCCCATTTTGTGATCTGATGTAATTATCCTATGTGTTATAAATCCTAATCTTTATGATGTTAACGAAGTACAGCCAGAATGCTTCTTAGAAACAAGGTTGGCAAGACTGCATCTCACACACTTTCAAGGGACCAATCTTTGGAAAGGACATGTTTGGTACAGTAGAGGGGTAATGAGAAAGAGGAAAACTCCTGACAAAATGGACACAATGGCAGCACCAATGGAGCCAATTAATTGTGAGATGACACAGGACTGGGCAGTTGAGGCAGTTCCAACTCTTAGGGACGCCTGTGTACAACATAATCAAACACTGCCTAGTCCTGCACTGATCTCACAATTGTTCCGATGTTTGAGCCCACTGCTGTCATCACGGTGTATATCCATCTTGTCAAGGGCCTTCCTCGTTTTAACTGCCACTCTACCAAGCGTGAGGTCTTTCTCCAGGGACTGGCCTCTCTTGACAACATGTCCAAAGTATCCTTGCTTCTAAGGAGCATTCTGGGTGTACTTATTTCTAAACAGATTATAGATTTGTTTTGGCAGTCCATGGTATGTTCCCCATTCTTTGCCAGCACCATAATTCAAAGGCATCAATTCTTTAGCCTTCTTTATTCAATGTGCAAATTTCACATGCATATGAAGTGATTTAAAATACCATGTCTTGGGTTAGGCACACCTTAGTCCTCAAAGTGATATCTTTGCTTTTCCATACCTTAAAGAGGTCTTATGCAGCAGATTTACCCAATGCAATGTGTCATTTGATCTCTCTGCTGCTTCCATGAACATCCACTGACTGTGGATCCAAGCAAAAAAAATCCTTGACAACTTCTTTCTTTTCTCCTTTTATCATGTTACCTATTCATCCTGCTGTGAGGATTTTTGTTTTCTTTACATTGAGTTGTAATCCGTATATACCGTAGGTTATAATCCTTGATCTTCATCAGCAATTGCTTCAAGTCCTCCTCACTTTTAACAAGAAAGGTTGTGTTATCTGCATATCAGAGGTTACTAATAAGCCCTCCTCCAATCCTGATGCTATATTCTTCTTCATATAATCCACTGCCTCTGTTTATTTCCTTAACCTACAGATTGAATAAGTATGGTGAGAGAATACAATCCTGATTTACACCTTTCCTGATTTGAAACTATGCAGTACACACTTCTGTACGACAGCCTCTTGATTTGTGTACATCCAAAGCCTTCTGAACTGGTACTCAGAATGTGAGTTCTAATACAGTTCTCTTCTCTGCTCTTGGATTTTATTATTTACAGTCCTGGGTGTAGACTTAGCTGACACAATTTAGATGGCTGCTTGTTTTAAGACATGCTTCCGATAGCCAAAGTCACGTTACTTTCAATCGCCTCATATGCATGTGACCAGTCAATGTACAAGTAAGACACAAAAGAAGAATTGATACCTTTGAATTAGGGTGTGGGAGGAGAATATTACATATACCCTGTTTCCCCGAAAGTAAGACATCCCCCCAAAATAAGGCTTACTTAGTTTTGCCTCTCGCTGAAATATAAGGCGTCCCCCCCAAAATAAGACCTCCCCGAAAATAAGGCCCCCTGAAGCTACCGTAACTCTGGACTCTGGACCGTAGCAGTGGGTGCCGCTGCGCAGCTCACTGCTGGCCACAGCGCAGCCAGAGCAGACAGGAAGTATGAGGTCTCTTTTAACAAAACAATAAACAATAAATGTGTACCATATTATTCTTCATGAAAAAATAAGACATCCCCTGAAAATAAGACCTAGCGCATCTTTGGGAGCAAAAATTAATATAAGACACTCGTATTTTCAGGGAAACAGGGTACCATGAACTGTCACATGAATAAGTAAACCCATGTTGGAGTACAGCCTTAATATTCTGCATAAACCAAGACAATGAGACTGAGTCTCATGTACTTTGGACATATCATTGGGAGTGACCAGTCCCTGGAGAAGGACATCATGCTTGGTTAAGTAAAGTGTAATGAATATACTGAAGACCCTCAGTGAGGTAGACTGGCAAAGGGGCTACGATGAGCTTAAACATAGTAATGATTGCGTGGATAGTAATGAGCTGGGCAAGTTTTCATTCTGTTGTACATAGGGTTCCTTAGTGTTGGAATCGTCTCAGAAGCACCTGACAACAACAGTAACAACAGCATTAGTGTTGTAGCA